GACCCGAACCGGCAATCACGCCTTCGGTCGCCCTCTCGAACGAACTCGTAAAGCAATATACCCAGAGACGCCATGAGCAGATATGGGTGAAGTTGAGCAGCTGTCGGCATAGTAGAGCTTGTATGGCGACACCAGACCGTAAGTTGACGAAATTTTATCTCTCACTTTCAAGGGACAAACTGCGTAAACTGGTAGGATTCCTTACGGGACATTACCAGTTTAACAAACATCTATACACGATAGGGGTGGTAACAGACCCAATCTGTCGTGGATGCAATGAAGAAGAGGAAACAGCTGAGCACATTCTTCGTGAGTGTCCAGCCCTAGCCTCCTACAGGGAATCCATACTAGGGGACATCTGGCCTAGTATGGCAAATATCAGGGAGTTTCCACCCTCTGCATTACTCAAGTACATTCAAGCAGTTGGGTGGCTTGACGAGTAGAGGAGCGGGAAAACACCCTGATATGGACTTGGGGAAGGTACAATGGGCCCAAAGGCGAGGCCTAAGTGCCGGCTGGCTACGGTCAGCCCCCATAAATTAAGAATCCAGAATCCAGAATGCTTAATTATGGAATATTGTCATAGACATATACTACATCCCTAATATAGCTTGAATGTATTCCAATAATAAAATTCCATTTATCATTCATTTAATTAAAAGGGGGAATCAAATCAAAACAACAACGTAGAAATGTCATCATATTTCTGTAAAAATTTTACTCGCCCATATCCTTCTTAATGCTATTGTCAGGTACTTCAAAGGGTGGTCAAATAAGCTTAAGGTATTTAAAAGGTGCTCTATTGTGTGGGCCATAAATTACAGCTTATCGCCTCAGCTAATATTTTGGGTTGCCTAACTTACCAAAATTTGCCCAAATTGTTTTGCAGTTTTTTTACAATAACTAAAAGAAGTAAAATTTTAACAGAAAACGAAGAATGGCGCCTAAAGTAGAAAAAAATTCTCTATCACTTCGATATTTTTTAAAAGCACACCGAGTTATAGTTTTCGCTAAAAATCCGCTGGGGTTTTACGCACTTTATTTTTTATTTTAAAAACTGCTACGTTTTTTAAAAAATACAAGACTCTTCCTTAAAGATTTTTATGTCATGAGCACGCACATGTATCGCCCTGCTCTTCAACTCTTAAAATAAAGGCGCAAAATGGATTGGCGTTTTGCCTTATTTTGGCATCTTTTAATGACTGTGTGGCGGAGCCTTAAGGGTCCGTCGGACCGAGCTCGTATTTCTGTTTTCTAAATTAGGCAACCCACAATGTAGAGAGTTAGACAGCTGTCAATCATTGGGCAGGTAAGCCGATCGACCGTTTGGGACCTTCATAAAAGTTTATTTAGGAGAAAAGATTAAAGAGATAAAAGTCTCACAACTAGAGACAAGATTTTAAGAAAAATGCGTCAAATCCCATCTCTACTCATAGTACGTACCACGAATGATGAATTTATTAGAAAAAGGCGGCAAGAGCAAGTATTAGTTATTAATGATTATACAGCGTCGCTATAATGTATGGAAGCAGTTAAATATGTAATTGTTGTCGTCGAATTACTAACGGAAACGGTTTTAGTACAGGTTTATTTACAATACCAACTACAAAAATGATAACACGGCCCAAGGTTGTATGTGTATGTCCACGTGGAGGTCTTGAAGAGGAGAGGACGTCTGCACACGGTGAGTGGTCGGAGAAGAAGAGGACGTCTGCACCCGGTGAGTGGTCGGAGAAGAAGAGGAAGAAGAAAGTCTGTTTTACGTTTCCACCGTGGCGTTTCCTCTTTGGGCTTGCGTGTTGTAACTGCCAATCCGGTGGCTGCATTATGTATGTATAACTGGTTGCCTACTTCCAGGCGGCCACAGTAGTCCCCTCCCAGTGACTACGTTTCGTAGTCGCGGAATTTCACTGGTGGCCTGGCTGTTCTTCCTGACCTTGTAGTGGTGCTCGTCGACGCAGGTGTTGTCGGGACCTGTTGCGTTGGGGGCTGCACATGAGGCGGAGTGCAGGACTCTGCCGATATGAAAGCCGGTTTTACTCGGTCCAGGCTCACTGTGGTTTCTCTTCCATTCATGCTTATCACTATCACCTTGTCTGTACGTCGTAATACGTGGTGTGGTCCGGTGTATGGTGGTTGTAACGGCTTCCTGACTGAGTCATCTCTGAGGAAGATGTGGGAACAGTCAGACAGCTCTGGGTGGACAAAAGTCTTGTGGTGGCCATGGTGGGTTGCTGGCCTTGGTCGGACGTTGCGCATGTGGAGCCTCAACTTGTCGACGAAATTGCTGGGGTCGACTTCTGGCTCGTCGTTTGCGAAGAAAAATTCCCCCGGGATTCGTAGTTGCGTGCCGTAAGTCAGCTCGGCTGGGGAACATTTAAGGTCGTCCTTGATTGTTGTCCTTAAACCTAACAGCACCGTGGGTAGGATGTCGTACCAGTCACTGGTCTCGTGGCACATGATGGCGGCTTTGATCGTTCTGTGCCACCTCTCGATCATCCCGTTGCACTGTGGTCGGTATGGCGTGGTTCGGCAACGTTTAGTGCCCAAAAGGTCTGTGAGGGCGGACATCAGTGTGGCCTCGAACTGCCGGCCTTGGTCAGTTGTAATACGGTGGGGGCAACCGAACCGCGCAACCCAGGTTGCGTAAAAGGTTTTCGCCACCGTCTCCGCCGTCATGTCCGTCATGGGAATTACTTCTGGCCATCGGGTGAACCTGTCTGTCATCGTGAGGCAGTACCGGTGTCCATGTGATGGTGGTAATGGCCCAACGATGTCCATGTGTACATGTTCGAATCGGCATTCTGTAAGTTCAAAATGTTTTAGGGGTGTTCTAGTGTGCCTACTCACCTTTGACCGCTGGCAAGGAAGGCATTCGCGCGCCCATTTTTTTATGTTGCGTTCCATGTATGGCCACACGAAACTTTTATGTACCGCCTTGAATGTGGCTTTGCCGCCTGGGTGTGATTTAGAATGTACCATGTCAAATACCCTTTTTCGTAAGTGGAGGGGTATGTAGGGGCGAATTCTCCCCGTGGCTGTGTCGCACCAGATCGCCGTATCCGAATTCATGGGTGTGAGATTCTGGAGTTTCAAACTGGTACTGGAATTCAGCAGGTTTCTCAACTCCAGGTCTTGTTCTTGGGCGGAGGCGAGTTCGTCCGGGTCGATCACTGCTGCCGTGTGAACTTCGCTGATTCGGGATAATGTGTCCGCCACCATGTTGTTTTCGCCCGGAATGTGTTCTATCTCCGTAGTGAACTGGCTGATGAAGTCGAGTTGGCGTAGCTGCCTCGGGGAAGCTTTCTCTGAGTTCTGTTTGAACACGTAAATCAAAGGCTTGTGGTCCGTTCTAACCGTGAAGACTCTCGCTTCTACCATGTAGCGAAAGAATTTGATGGCTTCGTATATCGCGAGCAGTTCGCGGTCGTACGTGCTGTACCTTCGTTGGGTGTTGGTCAACTTTTTTGAGAAAAATCCCAGGGGTTGCCAGTCGCCTTTAACCTCCTGCTCCAACACAGCCCCCATGGCTGTATCCGAAGCATCGGTGGTCAATCTTAATGAGGCGTTCTCGGAAGGGTGTGCTAGCAGCGCAGCACTGGACAACTCGCTCTTGCACTGGCTGAACGCTTCTTCCGCCTCGTTGGTCCAGCTGATTGGCGTCTTGTCATTTTTTTTCGAATTTCGCAGATACACATGTAGAGGTGCTTGGATAGATGCGGCATTTTTGACGAAGCGACGATAAAAGTTGATCATGCCGAGAAACTTTCGTAAGTCCTTCACAGTTTGCGGCTTAGGAAAATCACTTATCGCCGTCACTTTCGCGGTTGCTGGACGGGTCCCGTGAGTCGAAATGCTATGTCCTAGGTACTCCACTTCACTTGCCCCGAACACGCACTTTGCTGCATTAACCACGATTTGGTGTTGCTTCAGTCTTTCAAACAGCGTTTTTAAATGTCGCATGTGCTCCTCTGGGTTCGCGGAAAAAACTAAAATATCGTCTATATATGCGAAACAAAAGTCTAAATCGTTGAGCACATTATTGAGGTGTCTTTGAAAAGTTTGCGCGGCATTGCGTAGGCCAAAAGTCATCACTGTGAACTCAAATAAACCGAATGGCGTACACACTGCAGTTTTTGGGATGTCCTCGTCGGCCACTCGAATTTGGTGGTAAGCACGTACCAAATCTATCGTGGAGAACACCGTTTTTCCCTCTAGTCTGGCCGAGAAGTCCTGGATGTGTGGTATGGGGTATCTGTCTGGGATTGTTACCCCGTTCAGCCTCCGATAATCCCCACAAGGACGCCATTCCCCAGGATTCTTCTTCTGTACGAGGTGCAGTGGGCTGGCCCATGGACTGCTGGAGGGGCGACACCACCCTTGCTCCAACATGTACTGGATCTCAGCTTTGGCGGCCTTGAGTTTCTCCGGTGGTAGTCTGCGTGGTGTTTCAGCTACAGGAGGGCCGGTTGTGTATATGTGATGCACTACGGAGCTGGATGTTTGACTTCCCGGACGTGGTGCTTTCGTCAATTCCGGGTATTCCGCCAGCAGGTTGTGGTAGCTGGAGGTTTTTGCCACCGTCGTAATGCGTGGTACGGAGCAGGCCAATACGAAACCAGGGGAAGAGAGATGTGTCAAGGGGTCTACCAGCTTCCGGTTTCTCAGGTCCGGTAGGAGGTGGTAGTACTCGAGAAAATCGGCCCCTATTATTGGTTTCTCGACGTCCGCGAGGATGAAAACCCATTTAAAAGTTCTGCGTAGCTTCAAGTCAACCACCATGAATTTCTGGCCGAACGTGCGGATGGGTGTGTTGTTCGCTGCAAATAGGGCGGGTGTATCTTGTGTCTGTGACTGAGCCTTACCTGAAAACGTTTTCGGCAGGACTGAGACCTCTGCTCCGGTATCGACTAGATACCTGATACCGGATTTGGGATCCGTGACGAAGAGACGATGATGACGCGCGTCGTCGTGTACCGCCTCGATACCCGACGGCGCCTCTAGTTTTCCGTCTGTACAAACGTGCAGGGTTTGAAACACTTTCGAGCGTTTACACCGAACTTGGCGTGGTAATAACAAACGCCATTTTGATCCGTGCGTTGCCTGCTGTGTGTCCTTGACCGATTTCGGCTGTCATTTTGCCGTGCTTGTGGACTGCGCCCTCTCGTGTTGGTTAGATGAGTTACGGCTACCGATAAGGCCGCCATCTGTTTCTGGAGGTCTGCAATTACCGTAATGAGGTTAGTTTCCTGCGTTGGTACGATGGTGTTCTGCCGCGTCGTGTCGCTGGTGGCGCCTATCGCGTTGATACTGGAAGCCATAGCGTTGCTTCTGTGTATTTCCGCCAATTTGTCCGCGATTTCTGCCATCTTTTCCAGCGGTACTCCCTCGCTCGCAGACAGCACGAGTTGGACATGTGGTGGAAGTCGCTGTAGCCAGAGCGTTTTTACGACTTCGCTATTCATCTGCTGCCCCGCGAGTGCCTTCATTTCGCGGAATAACTGGGATGGTTGTCGGTCCCCTAGCTCCATCTCGTTTATCAGCTTTCGTAGCTGCTTCTCCTGTGAGTCGGTGTAGGCGGCTATCAGTTTCTTCTTAATTGTCGTACCTCTCTTTGTCTGGTGGGTTCGCTACGTCTGTGACCGGCTGGAGTGTGCTCTAGCTTCCGGATGGTTTCTTGCTGTTTTTGGAGTTGCTGTTGCAGTTCTTCGGCAGTCGGCATGTTCGTACCCGTAGTTCTTCGATCACGTCGGGGTCACCAATTGTAATTGTTGTCGTCGAATTACTAACGGAAACGGTTTTAGTACAGGTTTATTTACAATACCAACTACAAAAATGATAACACGGCCCAAGGTTGTATGTGTATGTCCACGTGGAGGTCTTGAAGAGGAGAGGACGTCTGCACACGGTGAGTGGTCGGAGAAGAAGAGGACGTCTGCACCCGGTGAGTGGTCGGAGAAGAAGAGGAAGAAGAAAGTCTGTTTTACGTTTCCACCGTGGCGTTTCCTCTTTGGGCTTGCGTGTTGTAACTGCCAATCCGGTGGCTGCATTATGTATGTATAACTGGTTGCCTACTTCCAGGCGGCCACAAATATCTTCTGAACCAATTGTACAAATCAACTGAAATTAGATATAGAGGTACACTACCATATAATTAATGCATTTCTATTTCATAATAATTCTATGCGCTCAGTTTCACTTAGATAGATCATTGTTGCAAGAAATACCTTACATGTCAAATTAAAATTATTTTCAAAGGTAACTATGTCATCTTCCTTTTTTTTTATTTTGCCATTTCAATCAGAAAGAAAGTGCTACATCAATGAATTCAGAAAAAATGCAAACATTTTTGAGGAATAGATCACAACTTATTGTAAAGTGGCTGTCAAATTAGACCGAATGCTACCTGGGGCGCGGTTTATTGAGCGCTTGAGGCGTTCAGCTTATTGTGACAGCTACTATACCCCTATACCTAATTTCAGGGGATTTCCCATGCTAATGACAAAATTCTTTGAAACCGAGGTAATTTTATGGATTCTACTTTGAAATATTCGTTCAGTCTTTGTTAGCTATTTCATTGAGATAGAAGTGTAGAAATTTGTAGTGTGGAATCTTCGAATTTTTATAAGTATTTGTATATATATATATATATTTTTTCTTTTCATTTAGTTATTAATTTTTGTAGGGTAAGTTTTAGTAATAAGTGTAGTTTTTAGTAATAGGTATAGAGTTGTATTCTTTTCAATATACAATAATCTTTAATTTTACGTTTAGTTTGAAGATGGTTAAAAAGGCAGGTAAACATCTTTTAGTTGCGCATAAGCCCAAAAGTAAAAAGCAGCAGATGAACCGTTTAAAAAAAAATTAAATTAAATTCATCATTAACAAATAATAATTCTTTTGAAGTTGCTCAAAATTCACGCTTCGATGAAACGGATTCGGATTCTTCTAGTGTTTTTTCTCTATAACAGGAGCAGACATACAATTCCGTGACAAATGATTTGTTCTTAAACGGGCGCAGAATTGTTGATATTGGTCACTTGTTGTCATCACTAAAAGATATTAAACATTTTCCTGGATTCGACTGTAATTTTTCCGATATTAGTATGATACATGAACAACGCCAAGGTTTCAATATAGTATTTTTACATTTACGTGTAAGGTGTGCGGCTGTCGGGGTAATTTCTCAACAAATAAGCCCCATAAAAGTATGGATATAAATAAAGGTATTGTGTGTGGTGCATTTGCTTCGGGAACAGGTCATTCCCAATTGTCAGCTCTTTGTAGTGCTTTGGATATTCCGGTTATGAGTGATAAGACTTATTTACATCATGAGAACAAAGTAATTGAAGTCGTAAAAAATGTTGTATCAGAATCAATGATTGCTGCAGGCAAGGAAGTATATCAGTTAGCTGTTGATGCTAATGATATCATCGATGGTATTCCGGCCATTTCGGTAATCGTGGATGGAGCGTGGAGCAAGCGATCATATAAAAATAATTACAATACTTTGTCTGGAGTAGCATGCATTATAGGTGGTAGGACCAGGAAAATTTTATATGTGGGAGTAAAAAATAAATATTGTCTCACATGCACACGTAATAAAAATTTAAAAAAAGATAAACCTCATAAATGTTTCAAAAATTGGAACAAGGCCTCTACAGCAATGGAAAGTAGTATTATCTTAGAGGGATTCCAAAAATCTATAGAAATGCATGGTTTAATTTATGCAAAAGTTGTAGGTGATGGTGATAGTAGTGTCTATAAAAAAATTCGAGACAATAAACCATACGGTCCAAACATTTTTGTAGAAAAAATTGAATGTCGGAATCACATCTTACGGAATTATTGCAATAAATTACGAGACGAAAACGTCTTAATTTGGAATTGTGAGTACTAAATAACTTTGTACAACACTAAAGTGCCATTAAAAAGCGAGACTAAGGATTTTACCGCAGTTCGGTCAGGCATTAGAAATGCATCGCAATTCCGATAGGGCGAACAGCATAAGGGTTGGACCATAGAAATAATATTATATGGAAGTAACTTAGAGAGAGGCGCGCGTTGCCAACACAGTGGGACAGAGATAGGGCTCTCTGGGTGGCAAAACATTGACACGAAACTGCAGAGCACTGTGTTTCTGGAGGTTTGTTTCGTGCTGTCGCATGGTCTTTAAAGGTGTATTTTTTGCAAATTTACGTTTTTTAGGCTCAAGTTACCTTATTTAAATGACTACAGTCTTCTTAAGTTGTATTTTATCGGACTATATGTTAAACATCGTGAAATCGTGTTGTGCGTACAATTGCAAAGAACGTGCAAAGAAAGCAATCCTGTGTCATTTCATATGTAATAATCACATATATGTAGAGACGAAGGATTTCGTAACTATAATTTAAAAATTTTGTTAGATTCCGTAAACATTCCGAGTTACGAAAAAAATGGATTGTTGCTACAAAAAAAGGGAATTTTATATCTATTGATTATTATTGTTTTAGTTATTTGTACGTGGATTTAGAAAATAGATTCTACTAGAAAATTCCACACAATTTAATATGTTTAATTTAATTAGGCACCCTGTCACTTTTATCGAAAGTTAATTAATTTTACCCTAAAAATTTCAGATTTACCAATGAACATACACTACAAGATTAGTTAACTTGTAGAAGATTATTGTATTAACTGAATTCGTAATATATTGTAGATTCTGTATACATTTCATTTTATTAAAAGACTATCTCTACCACTTAACATGATTTTTGTTGTTTCATATTACACATAATTTTAATGTAAACTGTAAAAATATAGTTTTTATTGACAAGCGTTTGTTATAATTGATTGTTTGAACAAATTCGTAAGAAAACGTATTAATTCCCGTTCAAATGAAGCGTTTTTTGCCACCCAGCACGTGCTACGTGGTCAGCCGTCCTTTTCCCACTGATGCATAACAACTCTTGCTATTTCTTTCTTGTGTTGATTACACTCGCTCGCGTATGGAAACGTACACAAGGCTCCATCCACTCCTTTATTAGATCAATGGGTTGGACATCTACCTTTCAAGGTATAACGCTGCAAATAACAATGCAGATCTAGTCGTAATTAAAGAACAGGAATTTTTTTTGTTACGCCACTGTTCTCCGTAATCGTCGAATAAATCGCCAGAGGGCGCCATCAAACGGCGCGCTTTTCAAAAACGTAGTTACGTAACGCAGCGTAATTTAATCTACATCTCTACGTGCATCAACGACAGCATGGCTCGCCACAAGGTCGTCGATTAACGTAGCTCGTATCTGTGGAGATAGCTTAGCAAGCAACGTGGCAAATCTAATCGCATAGACTAATCCGTTCCCGGCCGAGTCCTCTTAATTACTGCTGGTGAAAAAACTTCATCTCCGATCGTGATTCCGTCTTGAGCGTATTGCTGAACTTTTCCTTTTCTACTTTTGTAATTGGCCACGGGTTTCCCGCCGAGCGTAGTTTGCGCCCGTCGATAAGCTAACGGGGCATCGACCGCTGTTAGCTCGCAAGGGAGTGGGCCATCACCACCAATACACAACCAGGTTCCAACGAATCGTGTGTAGTGCGTCGCGACCATTGGTCTACAATTTGTCGACCAATCATTGGGAAAGTGCAGACTAAAATATCCAATGTAAGTCCACAAATTATCAAACATATTCAGTGCATGATTCGAGGGTTGAACCGGCAAAATACAATTGTTTATCCGATATTTATTCGAAAATTTTCATATTTTACAACGTCAGGATGCGTTCTCGACGTAATGGCGACCGAGCTTTCGTTGTCCGAAGGCTGGACGATTCACATTTTGCGCACATCGAAAAGGCGGTTTTCAGGTGGTTTCGTGTCTTTGGGGGCTGGAGGCTGCTGGATTGACGGTTAAATTGGCCGATTTGGCGATTTTGTAAACTGCTAAGCGGGATTGATGGGGTTTTGGTTTATTTTTACGGTTGATTCCACACCTAGAATACATAACCTATAATGTCATGTTCGATTTTAACTTTGAAATTAGTTATTCACTGCGTCGAAGTTGTTTGGCAGGTAGAATTAAAATATTCCACAATCTGACCAGTGTTAATATGTGGGTAATAATTTTGTGTTGTTTTGCTCCTACAAGTTCCTTGTGATTTTATTTCATCATACACCCTTCAGATTATAAACATGAGTCACCTCTTTCCTGTGCGATATTTTTGCATATGTGAAACTTCCAAATTCTATTTTTGTTTTAATTATTTTCAAAATGAGATAAAGTCGTATTTTTTATTTTTACTGAAAACCTTTTAAACCTAGGTACTTCATTAAAAGTCCAGGTGCTTGCTAAAAAAGTACTTCAATGCAATTTTGAATCGAGTCCTCTAATTGCAAAGCATTTCCACTTTGAAAGTGGGTAATTCCTTTATCTAAAAAAATTATACCAGCGCGGATGGCAGCTTCCGTTCACCATCTGTCTTATATCTGAGGGCAAATTGTTGAAGAGATAGTATCTGAAACTACCGTACGATTAATCTAAAATTGAAGTGTGCGTTCACATTATTATCACGTCAATATCGTAAAACGCAAACCGAAATTGTTTGTTTATTCATGCCCTTTAAAAATTGATGACGTCCCAAAATTTTATCGCACCTCTTGATTTAATAATGGAACTTTTTGTCAACGTTGGTTTAGGGATTACAAATTATTCATGAAAATGCTCTACTACCTGGAGGGATTTCATAATTATTAGAAAAGAAATGTGTATATATGATTTAAAAATATGATCTGTCTGTTGGCGACCCGTAATATTAGAAATTATTATTGATTACTATGAAATTTTGGGTTTAGTTTGAAATTATCGTGTCGACTAAAATTTCTTTGTAGTAAACCCTGTTAATTTTATAAAATAACTTGCTTGTATACTTGTGGTTTATTAATCTGCCCTTATTTTTATCTTCAGACATTTAAGTGCACCGGTTGTTCTGAACTTTAGCCTGATGTGCTTTGAGATTAACGTCAGACGTCAGCTTGTATTTGCTTATGCCGTATACCCCGCAAGTTTACGATGTAAATCATAACGGGTGATAAAAAGTTTTCAGGTTAGGGTAGGCTATGAAAATATTTTTATTTATTTGATTAAACCTTACGCGTTTAAATTCAATTTGTCAAATTAAATTTCATATATAAGGTTATGTTTGTGTTCCGATTCGTAAATGAGAGTGAAAAGTGCGAAGGATGGTTTCAATGTATGGTCAAAAAGCTCGTTTAAAATTCGCTGTTCCAACCGCTCGAATCGTGGCTTTGCATTGATTTTAATATCTTCGATTTTTTGACACTGATATTTCTAAATTTTATCGGTTTAATCGCACACACAATTTCGTGAAAACTTGTTACGTTTATAAACCAAGTCAGTGTTACATTACATTGTATGTAGATATCAAAATTGTAGGATATTTCTTCCCATTAAATCGGTATTAGTTGCGGTTTATGGGGAGGGAAAGTGATATGCTAGTATTGAATAAATGTTTTTTATTAGTCTGTCTCTTTTGGATAAATTGGATTATACAGGTTTAAGCAGAAAAAACTTCAAAAGTTTTAATAAACGTGTGCTTTCATCATTTTTACTCCCATTGTAAGAAAGAACAAAGTTACCCACGACCCATTGTTATAAAATTTTGATTTTTTTGGAAAATTTGAATGTCTCTGGTATAAAATCACTATGTATAAAAAATTACAAATACAGGAGCCTTATTTTAAAAAATTTAAATAGTATTTAATCATCTACACGATATTCCTAAAATGCCTATAAAGTTTGACAATAACCAGCGACACAGATAATAACTGCCGGTCGACGGAAATGGAAAACCCATTTTTTTGGACGTTAGGGGTATTACAATACCCTCTAGCGTCGACTCAAGAAGTAAAAAACTATTGTACTTTAAAGTAAACCCACTGGAATATTTTTTGAAATTATTAACTTTTGAATTGTTTAAGTTATGTATGTAATAATGAAATTTGACAAGGATAATAAAATTTGGCAAACTTTATACTTTTTCGATTATGAACCTCCAGAACCTTTGGTACATAAATATTTACATGTTTATTTTTATGAAATTTGTTGAACAACATTGATTTTTGACTTTTCTTTTAACATGTGTCGTTTTTTTTCAACACGATACTTAGAACATGTTCCATATGGCATTTTCTTGTAGAGAAATATTAATTTTGCATTTAAGATCCACTCCTCGCCTCACGACGAATAAAAAGATTAATCACAATTGAGACGGGGTGGGTGGGTGGGGTTTATCCTTTGATTTTCTTAGTACATATACATAGTCTTCTTTCAACAATAAAATATTTAAAATATCAAATGGTAAATTTGACGATAGAATTATGCTTTAAATTTCGTGTTGTTGAAAATAGATATACATTAAGAAAAAGAAGCCAATAAATAATTAAGCCCCACCCACCCTCCCCTATCTCAGTTGTGATGAATTTTTTATTCGTTGTCAGATAGAGGGGCGGAGTTTAATTGCAAAATCCATATTTTCCTATAAAAATTTACCATTTTAAACATGTTTTGAGTTTCTTCTTCTTCTTTTCAATTTTTAAGAAGTGAACTGAAGTACATTTGGCATTTCTGGTCTAAATCTTATTTGACTGAAAAAACTTTTTCTAACGCATCTTGTGAGAATCTTGGTGCAAAGCCGAAAAATCGATAAACCGAAAAATTATTTTGTAATTCTAGCTCCTGTAAAGCGGATTAATACTTTTATCAAATTCAAATCAAATGAAATCTTCTTGGGTCAAAAAGAATTTCACTGACCAGGTGCATATGAATATTTTTTGAAATAAATGCAGTTTTTAGAAAAATGAAAAAACGTCATGTGATTAATGTTGCCGGATAAATTTAACAGTTTTAGCTATAGGCACAACGTTATTTTAGTTAATATTCAGTTAAACTTTCAATACATATAACCTAAGAGCTGTTTTCTTAAAAACATTTTGTAATAATCTTTTTTTATTAATTTTAGTGAAATGTTTGCATCACATTCCTTTAAAAACTTACATCTTATTTATTTATGGAAATTTCGGAACGCGGCTGTCAACACCGTTTTCAGCTTACAAAACTCGAAATATCGTATCAGATACGTTGTCTACTTTTTTTTGTTGGAAATGAGATGCAGTAAAAAGCTTCTAGTAGCTATTTTTTAGTTTCTTTTACTGGATCTCATCTCCAATTAAAAAAAAGTTGACAATGTATCTAGCATGATGCCTAAAGTTTTGTAAGTTGAAAACAGTGGTGGAAATAGCGTTCCGAAATTTCCATAAATCAACTGAGATATTGATTTTGAATTGAAAATATAAATATAACAATAAATTATTTAAAAAACTGCTTTGGTGAAAGTTGTAGATTGTATTATATTATTATATTTAAAATTTCATAACAATAAATCTGTTAATGGAAATATAACTAATAACTATTAGATACAACTAATGCCCCTAAAATATTGATTTTAGAAAAAAAATTATAATCCAGTGATGCACCCAGAAAAACTGGGGAGGGGGGGAGACAGTAGAGAGTTGGCTATGGTGACTACAATAAATGCAACACTGAACCAATAAATATTTAATGTATTAGTTAAATCTACACAGAGAAACAATTCAAAACATGTTGATAAAAATTACACTACGAGTATGCTGAAAAAAAATTATCTAATCTGCCAGTACATTAAACATATCGAGTTATTGTTTCACCCAGAACCTCCGGCGGCTCCCCTGCTTCCCCTCTCCTCCCTTTCCCCGCTTTGTGAAACGTTGGACATTTCAACACAATTTTTAGCAAAAATGTTGAAATTGTATTACGACATAGGTACTTCACTTATCAAAAAGGTGATTCTGGATAATTAAAAACACAGTTTTTTAAGTAATGGATACTAAAATTACGGACGGATTCAGCCACAATCAAATTGTGTATTCCCATGGAAAAATTGATGACGTCATCTTAATAATATTAAATCATTGTTTGTGCGTTGTAAAAAATAGTTGCATGTAATTTTTTAGTTCACGAAAATTAATTTAGATTATATTTTATTATAATTAGCTATTCCACTCATGGCTTTCATTATGTTGAATGGTTAATCATTTATTCATGTTAGAAATATTTATGAAAATAGTCTGACGTCTCACTCTACGTCTACCCTTCAATTTGAGTTATCAGTTTTAAAACGGAAAAGCAGGTGCATTTAATAAAAATTATACTGCATACACGATTAAAAGAAAAGTAGATTCAATTTCCTGTTTATTTCTGACTTTTCGAAGGTATGTACGTATTTGAAGGACACCTTTTTAATTAAATTTACCTATAAAAAAGTGTCTGCTTTGTATATTTGGTTTTATAATTTACATGTTATTCGACTACTTGCAATTTGTATATTAATTCAAACCGTTAAAAAAAAGTGAAAAGTGTAATTAAAGTAGATTTCAATTAATGCAATTTTTTCCTTCTAGTGTATAAATTTTTGGATACGATCAACAAAAGCCTCCAGCAATGGAGCAAATTGCCACCGCCACAGATGGCCAAGTCGTCATGCAGACCGTGCAGGGCGTTAGTCCTCAGCAAGTACAAGTTATGCAGATGAACACTGGTCAGGTAATTCAAGGTGCTAATGGTCAGCAAATTATGGTACATGCCGTACCTCAGAGTGGTCAAATCCAGGTTGCTCAAGCGGGAACTCAGGGCATACAGCAGATACAAGTACTACCAGTATCGAGTTTACAGACGGCTCAGGGTCAAGTTCTTTTACAACAACCGCAACAGGCACAAATCGTTCAGTCTTTGGATGGCCAGACTTTTATTTACCAACCAGTAGCCATAGATAACACGACGTTACAGCAAGCACAACCAACAGGTAAATATTTCGATGTGATAAATATATTTTTAACTTGGTTAATTTTAGTACTGAATATAAACGGAAGTTTAGTGCAAATCGCGAGTAGTCCGCCTACTGCCACAACTACCACGGCTGTGGCACAGCCCGCCGTCACCTCACCCACTCAGACTGTGGTGCCTCAAACCATTGCCACAGCATCCGCGAACCAGCTGACTATGGCTAACGGAAACTTAGTCATGGTGAGAAATGCCTCAGACGTACGTAACATTATTAACATTTTTTCCGAATTTGTGCGCGTGTTGCTAATAAAAAATAATACACACACACATATCTATATATATAACAAGTTACCACATATACCACCAAATGACTGTATTTTAATAATAATAAATACGTTTTTATCCTAGGGATTTTGTGCCCTTTGTTAATTAAGCTTTAACATATCCTAAAAGCTAAGTTTAATGACACTACCATTTGTTGTATATGTTGAAATTAGTAGTAACGTCGCAGCCGCATTGTACGCCCTTCGTGTCAATAAAAGTGTTATTTTTGACAGATGGTGCCTGGAACCAGCGGAACCCAATTCCAAAGAGTGCCTATACCAGGAACGACCGAATTTTTAGAAGAGGAACCTCTCTACGTAAACGCAAAACAGTACAGGAGAATCTTGAAAAGGAGGCAGGCGCGAGCAAAGCTGGAAGCAGAAGGCAAAATACCCAAAGAGCGACCGGTAATACAAAGTTGCTAAAATTATAAGGCATACTCATAATTTGTTTCAGAAATATCTGCACGAATCCAGACACAGACACGCCATGAATAGAATAAGAGGTGAAGGTGGGCGATTCCACTCAGGGTCGGTGAAGAAGCGGAAAGAAGAAATGCAGAGGCAGCAGCAGCAGCAACAGCAACAGCAACAAACGCAACAGAGATCAATTGGGGTTTCGTATAACAATATAGAGCTTGCGACGCCCATTATTATAGAAGTAAGTGTGTGAATTTTGTTGTTGTGTCAATATTGTACGTTTTGTTTCAGAATGTGATGCCAGATATAATCAAAACGGATCCTCTCTCGATTGAGGGCAATTAGAGTATTTTGATTAGTTTTTGAAAGTTTAAAATTGTAAATTTGTTAGGAGACTTGTAAATAGTTTTTTAAGTTGACTTATTATTTGTACATATTATTATAGGCGTTTGTGTCTATTTTTACATATCCATGTCATTTTTATGTTTTATACTGTATTTGCAGTTGAAAGATTTTGTATTAACAGTTTTGACTGATCTTGTAATTAGTTTTGTTATTAAAATTAAATTATTTCACCACAAACCAAGTTTTTATAAGTGTATTTTCTAAGTTTTTCACAATTTTTTTAAAAATTGAAACATACAGCGAACTGTTCGCATTAACCAGAGGAGGTAGGTATAACAATTTTTTCTGTTTTTCTATGATAAAATGATGTATATAGTTACATTATACATCAAACTAAGCCAAAAAAAAATGTGGCAGAAAAATATCGTAAAAAAAAGTATAATTGTCTTCTGTTTCTCCTCTTTTTTTTTGTGGAATCGCTTGAAAATTCTCACACCAACAAAGTAACCTAGTTTAAATGTCCCTGTTACATTGATTACTTGTTAATAGTACAATTTATTTAAATAATAATAATAATGTCTTTATGAAAATCAAAATATACTACAAATTAATTCAAATGATTGTCGAATGACATTAACAGGAGTATTACCTAGTGGAAAATTAGTGATACATTTCTTAGCAGAATTTTTGACAACAACGAATAATTATTGAAAAATGGGGTTTGGTTTGAATCCAACACAGTTTGAGTGGTTAGTTCAGGATCTTGCCGCTAGGAGCGCGACGATTTTAAAGTTGCGTACCGAACAGCCAGGCATAAACCTTTTTGAGAAGACCAACAGCTCATCCTAAAGTTTTTTATTGGCGTTCTCAGCTGATTTTTCTAATTTATGACGAAGAATTCGATTTTATAGAAGAAGTTAGAAAGAATAAATGCTATTGTGCCGATTATTATACTAGAAACTGGTAGATTTGGAGTTATATAATTGTTAATATTTCTAGTCCATGGTAGATTAAGAATATACGTACCATTTTTCAATTACCACAAATTAATTGTAATATTTTTAGTGTATATTTTGCGTTGTTAGTAATAAAGCTACATAGCCATTTTGTGTCGGCTGCCCCGCCGGGACTCGGGAAATTTCCAAAACAGTCTATTTCTTTTTTTTTATACAATTATTTACGTTTTTCACATATGCAGGATATTACAATTAAATATTAAATGCAATAAATATTCCTAAAAATATAACAGACACAAAAAAAAACGATATATATAAATATTAAATAGGAACATTTTTTTTTACTTTCAGAGCGTAAATTCAGTACGAAACAATAGGTCCCCCGTTTCCGTCTGTCTGTCTGTCTGTCGGTCTGTCTGCCGCCTCTCCGGATTTCTATTAGACAGATAATCTCCGAAACTACTGAAGCAGTTGTTAAATTTTACATGTGTATTAAGAATATTGTGTAGCTGATCAAAATTTGGTTAATTATCCCTCCAAAAGCATTGTTGTGAATGGCTCGGGTTTAAGGATTGGATTATTATCGGACATGTTAGATGAAATTTCTATCAGTAGAAAGTAAAATTCGAAGCATGTTTTTGAGTATCGTGTTGTTCAAAGTATACTATGTTTATTAAGAGAAAAATGAAAAATATGAACCTTGCCCACCCACCCCATCTCAATTGGGATATTTTTTTAATTCTCAGAATTTTTTTTTCATCTATTTAAGCTTTTTTTTACCTGTTTTTTTCAACTATTTGAAGGTACCTACTTTACCATGTTTTTAAGCAAACTGGCCAATTTCGACGTTGAAGTGTTTGATTGAATGTTAATAAAATACAAAAACTCAATTTTTGTCGTGAAGTATTTTTTTTAATCCATTTTTTTTTAACATTTCACCCCTTTTCTGCATGAATTCGTGTCTAGTTTTCACTCTTAGACATCGAGATTTTTGGGAAAGAATTCAAAATTACAATTTAATTTGAAAATTCACTGAAAATGAACTGAAATATTGCAAACGTTTTAAGATTATAGGGAAGATGATAAATCGTTAATCAAAATTTGTTCGTTTAAGGCCTTCCTAAAAAATGATGACGTCATATTAGAATTCTGCCGAACAAATAATGTTCTTTAAATTTTATAAAATATCATATTCCTCCATGTGTGATATATGAATCCGTGTTGATTTTTTACCCTTGACATCCAGTTTTTTGGAAAAAAATCAACATTGTATAACAATATTTTACAAATGTAACTTTGAAATTGCAAAAACCAAATGCTGTGTAGCCGTGTAAATATTTTAACATTATTTGTCCGTCATCTTACATTTTTGCCGAATTTCTTCAAATTTATGAGTGTTTTTAGAAAAAAAAACTGGGTATGAATTAATCAATTGGTCCTTTCCTCTGCGTCGAGGACACAAATTTCATTTTCTTTTAATCGCTGATGTTTGTGCTAGTTTTCGAATTCGGTCGAAGTATAAACATAAACAGTCGAAGTTAACATAATTTTTTCAAAACGTCAATGTCGCCAGCAAAACTGAAAATAATAGCAGTAATAATTTATATTATTTGTTTTTGTAAACAACATCTGTTTACAATACCACAGAGCCCCCCTTTGTAAATTTCCCGATGGACCCCCATGTCCTCAATCCGACACTGCGTATCAGCAGCAAGATGACCATTGATCCCAGAAAAGAAGTGTTTAATAAAAGCCACATTTCCAGTAACTTCAAGTTTCCATGTCAGGATTATCTGAAATATTTAAACCATAATCGCAGTCACGATAAACGTATGTACATTTTTTACCGATATATGTATTTTTTTTTTATTAAAATTTGGACGAACAATTTACCATGTTTCTGATTACCTTAAAACACTTGTAAGATTCCAAAGCATTCGGTTTTGCAATTTCAAAGTTAAATTGTCAAATATTGCTACACAGTTTTGATTTTTTCCAAAAATCTGGATGTCAAGGATAAAAACTGAACACAAACTCATAAACCACAACTGCAGGAGTACAAATATTGTTACAAAATTTTAAGTTTTTTTACAAAAATTTAGAATTTACTATGGATTTATGAACTATAAGTGCAGGTGTATGTTATTCTATAAAATTTAAATAATACATTTTGCCCTTTTTTCTTAACATGTGTAGTCATCTTTTCACAACAATAAAGTTAGAACATGTTTAAAATGGCAAATATGTCTAAGGAAATATCGATTTTGCAATTACGCTCCGCCCCTCGGTCTGACAACGAATGAAAAACTCATCACGGTTGAGATCGAGGTGGATGGGTGGGGCTTCTCTTTTGGTTTTCTTTTTTCATTAATACATTTAGTTTTCTTTGTATAACACTATTACTTAAGAACATATTTCACATGGACGAAAAATAAGGTTTTTGCAATTAAGCTCCGCCCCTCGGCTTACGACGAATAAAAAAAATCATCAGAATCGAGATAGGGCGGGTGGGTGGGGCTTCTATTTTGCCTTTTTTTTCTTAATATACATAGCCATCTTTTCATAATAAGAAACTTAAAACATGATCAAAATGGTTTTTGCAAAAAAATATTTCCTTATACAAATTTTCCATTTTAAACTTCATGTTGTGAAAAGAAGTAAACACATATTAAAACAAAAATGCACATTGTAAGCCCGCCCACCCGCCTTATCTCAATTGCGATGATTTTTTTTATTCGCCGTGAACCAAGGGGACGGAGCTTAACCGCAAAATACTTATCTTTTTACAAGAAATTAGAAGCATGTTTTTGAGTATCGTGTTGTTCAAAGAATACTATGTTTATTAACCGAAAAATGCAAAATATGAACCCCGCCCACCCACCCCATCTCAATTGGGATATTTTTTTTATTCTTAGAAACTTAAAACACGTTTAATATGGTACATTTTTGTAAGGAAATATGGAATTTGGAATTAGGCTTCGTCTCTAGGTCTGCCAACGAATGAAAACTTCATTACTATTTAGATTAGGGCAGGTATGGGGGGGGGGGGGCTTAATTTTTGGAGTTATTTTTTTCTTAATATACATATAATGAGGCAAAATTTTGTGATAAGGTCATTAATTTTTTGAGAGGGGATAAACCCATACAAACATTTTGATTAACCTTTTACCATGTTTACAATAACCTTAATAAAACGTTTTCAAGAATTCAGAGCATTAGGTTTGCAGTCAGATACCTATGTGGAAAAGAACCAATGTGTCATATATTATTAATATGAAATTAATAAAGAAAAACATGAAAATTTAAAAATATAAAAAGCCATAAAATAACCGGAAACTTCACTACAGTAACTAAGGAGACTTTTATTCTTTAATAAATGATCATACTAAAGCTTTTTCAGTAGGAAAATATTGGTACTAAAAGAAAGTTTTCTTATAGAACATGTTTTCTAAAGAAATGAGTATAATGTCATTCATGTTCATATGAAATTATCTGTATAAACTTTGGGAGCGTTGAGTTAACCCCAATTATTCTATCTTGTTACGCCACTGTATCTAATTAATATTGAATTTATGCAACCAGTAATACACCGCCTTTGTTTTGTCCATAAAATTCTCATTTTTCGAGCATTTGTTGCAAAAATAACCCTTTGGAACGCATCTTTGTATGTGCCTTATGATAAAAAAAATATCGTCGAACGTGGGGCCTAATTTTGTTAAATATTGATGACAGACTACTCACAAAACTTCCAAATTGTTGACGTAAACAAGCGCACAGATTCGCCGGTAGTGTCAGCGGCTGTTGTCATATATCTGTCAATAGTAGGGTTTTGGGGAAGCTTTGGGTGTAAATGCTTAGTTTAGTGGGTGTATAATCTGTGATTTAGTTAAATGCACGCTTAATTTCAAGAACCCGTCAAAATAAGTGTCTTTGTGATCGTGTCAACGCACAAGTAAGTTTCCTAAAATTTTCCAAAAAATTAGGGGTGTAACTATTTTGTTTGTGTAGTTTTCCCCCCCAGCATTCTTTAATAAATTATATGTAAACACCGGCATGGCTTGGAGATTCAAGGCTTCTAAATATAAAAACGCCGCACCCATAGTCCCAAAACCAGAAAACTATGTCCGAGACATCTGCGTTGGGTCCTACCAAACCTACGGCAACAACATCGCCGCTTCTGCGAAATTCATGGCATTTAATTGGGACCACGCCGGCTCTAGCCTGGCGGTTTTACCCATCGACGACTCGGGACGCAAAAGCAAGCTGATGCCCCTTTTACATGCACATTCCGACACTGTGACTGATATGGAGTTTTCTCCTTTTCACGATGGACTGCTGGCGACTGGTTCGCAAGACTGTTTAGTTAAGATCTGGCACATTCCAGAGAGCGGCCTACAAGAGTCTTTAAGTAATCCTGAATGCACGTTTTCGCATAAACAGAGGCGAGTCGAAACTGTGGGGTTCCACCCAACCGCCGATTTTCTTTTACATTCTACGTCGTACACGACTTTAAATTTGTGGGACTTGATATCAGGGCAGGAGGTGTTCTCGAACGCCGAGACTTCCGACGTGATTCAATCCGTGAGTTGGAAGCGCGACGGGACGCTGATTGCGACGTCGGCTAAAGATAAACAGGTCCGGGTTTTGGATCCTCGAGTTGAAGAGTCCTGTATTAAAACTGCCAATAGCCATCAGAGTATTAAAGATTCGCGGGTGGTATTTCTGGGAGACAGCAACAGAGTTTTAACGACGGGTTTTGATGCACAAAGGTTGCGTCAAATTATCATTCGAGATTTGAGAAATTTTGGAGAGGCTGAAAAGTCCTTGGAGCTTGATTGTTCGACTGGAATTTTGATTCCGCTGTATGACGCCGATACCGGTATGCTGTTTCTGGCAGGGAAAGGTAATTAATTACACGGACTTTTAACTTTGATGGATCTGTTTTATAATTTCAAGGAGATACAACCATCGGGTATATGGAAGTGTTGGATAAGGAGCCTTATTTGATGGAAGGTATTCGACACTCAGGAGAACAAACTAAAGGAACTTGCTTAGTTCCGAAAAGAGCCTTAAACGTAATGCAGGGCGAAGTTAATAGAATTTTACAGCTAACTAGCACTTGCGTTATTCCCGTCACTTATCAAGTTCCTCGGAAAACTTACAGGTAATAACTTGTCCAAATGTGTTGTGTCTGCATGCTTTTATGAGCACATACTCATTAATTTTTTATTAAGGACCGTTAATTTCGAGACACTCGAACGAAATTATGATTAGCGAGGTGGCACGAAATTTTGCTGCACTTGTTATTGTATTTTGTTGTAAAGCGAAAAGGTTGTATTTTGGGCGGTTTGAGCTCAGTCGCACAAATAATTTTGTTTTCTTAGGGATTTCCATGCAGATTTATATCCAGACACTCCAGGGTATAAAACTGATTTAACTGCCGAACAGTGGTTGAGTGGCAAAAATGTCCCGATTCCGAAAATTAGTTTGGACCCATCTAAGCGGGAAAACGGAGAAGAACCAATCATAGTAAGTTCTACTCTAAATTCTAGGGATACGACGGTTGGCTCAGTTTTTGCATGCGTCGCAGTCGGTTCAGAACCATAAAAGTGTGCTCAGAGCAAAACAATAATGGTTTTAAAATTAATATCTTTTTCGTAAATTTCATTTCACGGTGCAGTGAATTTGTTGTTTAAATATTTATGAAAATGTCATTATTATCGTATTAACCTTTACAAAAACATGTGTCAGTGAAAGTAATGAAAAACAAATTATTTTTGTCAACATTTTCATGATTAAAATAATAAATCCAGAGCAATTAAGCATTATGAATCATTTCCAGTGCCACAAAGAAATTTATTTCTTGAAAAAAATCAGTAGGTATGCATTCACCCAACTGAGTTAGAAATGGTTCATACAAACTGAATTATATTACGACTTTACGCTTTGAGCGCTGGTTTAATTAAGTATTGTAACAAGTTTCTGATGCTTGTTAAATTTAATTTTTTTTCTGCGCTTCACACCTCACAGAATACGAAAAATCAGGTTTTTCGTTTGCGTCTGTCTTCGAGCAAACATTTTTTGCAATGCATGTAAAAAATTACGTAACTAAATTCTTACATATTTTGGTAAAACGCTAAAACAATTTAGTGATTACATAATATTAATTAAATTTTCTTCATTAGAAAGTGGATGACGTTATCTCATAAACTCTTAAATAAATTAGTAGATTCGACCCGCAAATTGCGGGCAAACGCTAGGATGTATATCGATCTTCACAAGTTCCTTCTAGCTAAAAAACGTGAAAAGTTTTTAATTTAATTCACATCTTGAAAACGTCAAAAATGTTAATTTAAATCAGTGTCGGATTGTAAAATACAATTTTGGTATTGAAATTTACAATGGATAATTAACACAAGGGAATCTATAAAATGAGTACGAGTAGTATTATATTACTTGTAATTTTAGCAGAAATGATATCAACCTTTTCTTTGTAAATAGATGGTGTTTTGAAGTGCGTTAAATAGTTTTTTTTTATCAATAAAAGATTCAAATTGGAGGCATCTCAGTCGGGGTTGACCCGATTTAAATAACGTGATTTTTTCAAACTTTTTTAAATTTTCATTTCAAATTTCGAAAATATAACGGCCTTTTTAAATCCAGTTTAAATCGAAATAAATTGAACATTGACTAGAATAAAATATTTCCAACAAAATAAAAGTCTAATGTTCTTTTTTTTTATTTCCCGAGCGTCTGTGTCGATTTTATTAGACAGATAATCTCCGAAACTATTTATTTGTATTTTAGGAATATCATGTAAATGGTAAAATGATAACCAAAATTTGTCTGATTATCCCCACTAATAATTTGCTGACATCATTTAAAAAATTTGCATTGTAAAAGCTATCTAAATTTATAAAATAACATAGTCCTAAACTTGTGGTTTATGAATCCACTTTGATGTATTTAATTTACCATGAAAAAATTTTATCATTTTTCGAACAAACTGGATTTGTTGGACTGTACTTCAGAGGCGAGGGCAATTCTCTCTACTCCTTAGATCAATTTATTTATTTGTAGAATAGGTATATATAACATAATATTAATTACAAATATTCGAGTAAACTTTTTAAACATAAATATCTATTTGGCAACATAAATGAAAATAAATTCTCTTTATACTTGTGATAAAATATGTACGTGCAAAATGAAATTTAAAATCTCAATAGTATAAAAAACGCCATCGAAAACTGAATAAACGTAATTAAAACTACTAATTTTTTATTTTCTTGCTATTTTTTGAGTTTTATTTCCAAATTGGCAAACAAAAAAAAAAAAACCAAACAATGGTCGAAGGTTATTTAGATAGAACTTCCCACGCTTCTTAGATACAGTCGAACAAATGCAACTTTTTCAAAAAATTATAAAATTTAATTTTGCCAATTTTATTAAAAGTAAGTTAAAATAAAGCTGTGTGTGAACTATTAAACTATAGGGGGAAAAATATGTTACGTTTGTTTCAAATGAGTTTTCCATTACATAATTTTGTTATGGAGTTATTAATATTTTAGCAAGGCCACTTATATAAATTTGAACAGGTGCAGTGGAATACCGATAATAACAGTACTACATTAAATTTTTGGGAAAATTGGGTTTTTTTATTTGATTTGTAAAAAAACTGGGACCAGGCAACGATCCACAGACCTCTCATCTGCGAAGCTAAACAACAAGATTGATTAAATAATAAAAAATATACATTTAAATTTTATACCCCACGTTAACTCATGTTTGAGTAAAGATTCAGAGTTGAAATTTTTACTGGATGTAATTTGGGTAATGTTTTATAATTAAAGGATATTTAAAAAAAAAATAAAATATTTTGATATGTTTGTCGGTAATATTCTTGCCATGTAACAACAGATATTTACATGATATTCACCTGACTTTTCTAAAATTTAATTATTCGTTCGATTACTGGTTTTTAGTGACCGAAATTCATCAACATGCCGCAGTACACAATTAAATAAAAAGTGGAAATGGTTACTGATGAATGCATTAAAGCCTTATCGACAACAGAGAAACTGCGCAAAATTTTGCTGCAGCATTCTCACATTGTCCGATATTCGGCGAGAACACGATATAAAAATTTTATGGCATATTTATAAACACAGGTTTTCGTGATCGCAGTGAAATTATCTTTTATTGTCTTCATTTATGTTTGTATTCTATCATTCTGTTTCTTTTCTAAAAACTGCAATAAAGATATTTAATGATGAGTCAAAATTTTCTATGATGTATTAAAATTTTTTAATAAAAATAATTTTTATTGTTCAAAGCACAAATTAACAATTTACTGGAAAAAGTGGTAGTGAAAATTAAAATAGAACCCTAAGGCTACTTTCACAACAAAAATTATCTCTAGGTTTTCACCCTACCAAAAGTTAACAGGCGTCTAAAATTTAATATGGGAATCCCTATGGCTACTTTAAAAAAAGATGCACTGTATAACCATAATAAACAAATCAAGGTATATTCATAAACCACAAGTACAGGAGTATGTTATTTCATAATATTTAGATAATTTTAACCACTCAAAATGATGAAGGGATGTCATGAAATTGTACCAACAAATTTTGGTTGGTGTTTTACCATCTAATCGATAGTTGTCAAATTTTATATGCATTTTAGGGGTAAAGTGCATATAAAATTTGACAACAATCGATCCGGTAGCTTCGGAGATTATCGGACTAATAAAAATCGACACAGACGCGAAAGGGGACATTACTTTTTCCATACTCTTGGGGTCATGAAACGTCTAGAAAACAAGAAAGTAGGCAGTCCCCCCATGGACCCTATTACAAAATTTTTGATTAAAAGAATCCGATTTTTTTCCCCACCTTGATCTCGGTTTATGTATTTCACTCTAATATTTTAAGTATTTTGGAAGGGTAGAAATCTGAAATTTGGAATAGTAAATTAACACAAAAAACGGTCTAAAATCAATGTAGCTTTAACGTTATATCACGTTTAGTTTTTCCAGAAATGACATCAACTTTGCGATGTATAATATGACATCCGAATTCACAAAGGTGTTAAATAAGAGATCCAATTTTTGGAAAAACGAGCACCGATGTGATGTTAATGATATAGTCATTTTATATCTGAGTTATTAAAGTGGGAGGGGTCAACAAAAATGCCATTATTTAATTTTTCTATTTAACGCACTTGAAAAACATTATTCTATTTCAAAAGAAAAAGTTGATGTCATTTTCGTAAAAAACGAAGGCAATATGTCAATGTCAATTCATTTTATTGATTTCTTTATATTAAACAGTATTTTTGTCTTTTCAAATAACTGAAGTATTAAACGTACAGCTCATATCGACGATCTTTTCGCGAGATCCACTTAAATACTTAACATTTTTAAGTTTGAACAACCAATTACAAAAAACAAAAATGACAGTTTACCACACATTTGCATAACGACGTCTCGCAAGTAATAAAAAAAAAACCATGATGTGGTTAAAATAGTCCCTAATCTCTTTCGATCTATTTCATTTTAAACATTCAAACATATTGAAATATATTTCGCATGAAATAATTAATTCGAATTCATTACTAAAACACATAAATATTGATCTTTGTTTCTATTTCGGGGTGTTTAATTCCACACCCAACTCACAGTCCGTAATCCCAAGAGGTCACCTAAAATACTCCTACATGAAAATGTCACTCCAGGAATCTCAAAACACTAGATATTTAAAATTCAAAATTTCGCTTTTCGGAACGAGTGAAATTCCAAAATCATCGCGACCATTAGGGAAATTGGAGGCGCTTCACTAAACCTAAGCCGAACGTGGTGCAGTAAAAAAATCGTAAAAAGTTCGTCAGCGGTCGGAGAACCGGAGTTCGTGTCCACGCAAAATTGGACACTTCGACTTAACCGTTTTTAAAGCTCTCTTTTCGCCTATATTACTCCAGATTGACCGTCATTTCTCCCTTTCTCCACTTCGTTTTCCGGTTTATGTCAGCGTATAGTAGGTGAGATTACATTCAACGATTATTAATAGAACAATTTTAATTGTGTAATTTTTATACAGAGGATAACGTCAGGTTTGTATTAAAACTGATTTTAATCAGCAAAAAGTCGATAACATTATTTTTATTATCTTTACTTGTGTTGTATTGTTGTGCTTCAAAAGATAGGGAGGTTACGTGTGAAATGAGATAAAAATGATGATGATAAGGTTACTTGCTATTACTTTTCCTGAAGCTACTTCTGTAATTTTTAAGTGAACACCAAGCATTAGAAAGAGTTTTTCGGTGTGACTTAAGTATGAACACTGACTTAGAACTATATACTTCCATGGCAAAAATACAGTGTTTTTGTTTAAAGCGTTCAAAAACTGAGACAATCGTCACCCATTCCTCATTAAACCCATGTATGTTAACCTGCTCTGCAAATTTAAATCGCTGCATTGCAAAACTAGGTACATAGAGGACCTCTTTCAAAGCTACGAGAAGAGCACGAAACGGACAAAGTCATTGAAACAAAACCCGTTCCCAAAAAAACCTTTCAACCTAAAATCACGGCAACAATAACTAAAAACGACTTTCACCCAGTTAAGGACATAATCAAAGACCTCGAAAAAGATAAATCGCCCGTTTCCGATAGTAAGCCGGAAATCGTCCAAGATAATAAAGTTGCGGAAAACAACAAGATTAACCTGGAAGAAACGAGCACACAACAAAACGTTATTCCCCCCAAACCGTTGCCGCGTACATCCAGAACCGGTTCGATTTGTGAACCTCTGGAGGACCCAAATAATCCCCCAAAACCTGTCGCTAGACCTAGGACGAACAGTGCGACACCTGTCGTCACATCGGTTAACCCGAACGTGCCCATTGCAGGAGGATACAAGGTTAATGTTGTGTTGTTTTTTAGGATTATTTTGTTTTGGTTTCTTGGATGGCACATTTTTTTTTTTAGTTTCACTGGATGCCGGCTAGCTAGCTAGGATTAGTTTCCGCTTTTTCTTTGTTTCGTTTTGTTTGTTTTCGTATCTCGTCTTGTTGGGTTTCTAAGTGATGTTGCGCTTGCAGCCGAGGCTAGGTCCGAAGCCGTTCACACCCCCGAAGCTCAACGAGCCGGAAAGTTTCGATAAAGTTTTCTCGGTGCCTGCTGTTCCTGGTCAGCAGCAGCCCCAACAGCAGACGAACGGAGTCCATGAACCCAAAACTCCCGTTTCTGAGGCTCTCCCCAGCCCCACGCCCACAATCCAGGAAAAAGAGCCGCTGCAGGTGGAAGAAGAGGCGCAAGTCGAGGCCGAAAGCGCCAAAAACGAGGCCGTCGAAGAGAATGACAGTGATTCCGCGTACACGCCTAAAACCCCGAGCACTGCTGAACGGCGAAAATTGTTTGAAAACAATACCAAGGAGAACGAGCCGGAAGAGAACTTCGACAATGTTGATCAGAGTGGAAGTTTTGAAAGGGCTTCCGTTCAGAGGAGTAGCATAGCGGAAAGGAGAAAAATGTACGAGAATCGATCACAGTCTGTGCAGGAAGCGCCTAGTACTATCATTGAAAAGGCCGGGGGATCGCCTATTATGATGAGACGGAAGGACTCGTTTAAGAATAGAAAAAATGCCGAGGATGTGTTGAAGGATGACAACAATCGAAAAAGTGGACAGGTTTCGAAACAGATGTCTTTGGAGCAACAGGTTGGGAAGAAGAATGAAAATTTTGCGGCGCCAACGCCAAAAAGGACTTCGACTGTGTTTGGTAAGTTCACCAGAAAGTGTAACTATCGAGAAAATAATGATTTTTATTTATAAAGTAGGAAGTATTTATAAGTAGAAAGAATTGATGGAACCAAGCGCTTTCTCGTTTCGATACTGGTCGACTCATTTAAAGTTAGCAGCGCATTATTTCTGTTAACATTTTTTGTGTTAAATATGCTGAAGTGTAACAAACTGGAAGAGATTCAGTTGAGCGTGAAGACACTATAACTAACTAAGGCCAACTTTGCGAGAGCGATCAATAATAAAACAAACGCTATTCTCAGCAGTTCCAAAAGTACGTTATTTTTGATTAATAAATAATACACGTACATAATTTTTAAAATAATTGATTTAATTTGTTCGTGGAACTCTTTATGGTTGATTGATTCATATTGGGTGTTAATATTTTATTATCTGATAATATTATCTTTTATTTACATCGCATCAAATAAGATACTCCTGTAAATATTTGTGGTTTATGAATCCGCCTTGATTTTTATCACAATTATTGTGTGCGGGTTTTTCCGCGGTCTAATAAACCTGCCCTCTGCTTGCGTTGGTTCCAACCCTATCCTCGTCGAAATTTTTTCTACCACATTGAATTTATTTCAATGTTTGACTTTGGGTGCGAATGAAAACTTATTATTTTGGATAATCGAAAAACGGTTTTGTTTTGTTGTTTTCGTGAACGCAAGCAAAATAAGGATTAACTTAGAGTAAACACAATCTTGCGTGAGCTATGATGGCGACAGTGTTTATGAGATAAACACTAAAGTTCTTTTAATGAAATAGCTGTGTCATAGAGATATCGATCTGTTTACAAGATAAAATGAAAATCCATTGTCTTGCCCTTAGTAGGATAGAAATGTTGCATATATTCTGTTTTCAGTAAAAAAATAACCCGAGAAAAAATAAAGAATTAGTCTAAGGTTACTTGGATAGAACTTTCCTCGTCCCTGAAGTACAATTTTACGGTTTTTTTTTTTTAAACCCCTATAAGTTGAGATAAACATATGTATGAACTGTTAAATTACAGATCAAGAAGTATGCTGTGTATATGTTTTAAGTGGGTTTTTATAGCAGCCCCCGCGCCATGGGGGCGCAAATTCCAAGGGAACGCGGTCCGTATAAGTGCGGACAATTTGAAAGGTATTTAAAGCAGATGACCAACGGGAAATAATGTTTTACGAAAAATCGAGAGAAATATCGAGAAATCGAACACTCCAGGAAAATTGAAACACGGGAATATCGATAAATTGAGAAATCGAGAAGTCAAACAATTTTAAAAGTCGAAAATCCGAGTTATTAAACTATCGAATAAAAAAATCATCAACTCGAAAAATTGAAAAAGAGAAATATCGAAAAAGAAAAAATCGGTCAAATCGAAGAGTTGAAGAATCGAAATATTGAAAATTTCCAAAACTGACATATCGAAAAATTGAAAAATCGAAGAAAAATTGAAAAATGCACAAATCGGCAAGTTTAAAAATCGAAGTGGAAAAATCGAAAGATTGAAAAGTTAAAAACCTGAAAAATCGAAAAAATTGATAATTGATAAAAACGAAAAATTGAATTGAAAAACTGAAAAATCCAGAAATTAAAACGTTGAAAAGTCCAAAAATTGGGAAATCGAAAAATTGAAAAATCAAAGTCGAAAAGTCAAAAAATTCAGAAATCGAAAAGTGAAAAAATCAGGAAATCGAAAATTTGATGAATCGAATAATTGAGGAATCGAAAAATTGGAAAATCTCAACACTGATTGAAAATCGAGAAATTGAAAAATTAGAGAATAAAAAACTGAAAAATTTTCTTGATATCTAGGATAAAATTGAACACGAAGAAATTAGAAAATGAGAAAATTGAAAAATCAATATGAAATGTCAAAAATTTGAGTAATCGAAAACTTAGAAACGTCAAAAATAGAAAAATTGAAAAAACAACGAGAATTGAGAAATCGAAGACGGAAAAATTCGCGAAATCGAAAATTTGATGAATCGAATAAAAAAATCGTTAACTTGAAAAATTGAAAAAAAGATATATCGAGGAACTCAAAAATCAATAAATCGAAAAATCAAAAAATATAAAATTTAAAAATTAAAATATAGAAAAATTAAAGAATCGAAAAATTGAGAAATCGAAACATCGAAAAATTTAAAAATCGAAAAAATTGAAAAACAGAAATATCGAAGAACTGATAAATCTGTAAATAGGAACTTCGAAAAATTGAAATATATAAAAAGAAAAAATCGGTGAAATCGAAAAGTCGAGAAATTGAAGAATGGAAATATTGAAAAATCCCTAAACTGAAATATCGAAAATTTGAAAAATCGAAAGATTGAAAAGTCAAAAATTTGAAAAATCGAAATTGAAAAAAACGAAATATTGAATTGAAAAACTGAAAAATTGAGTAAATAAAACATTGAAAAGTCGAGAATTTGGGAAATGGGAAAATGGAAAAATCAAAGTCGAAACGTTAAAAACCTGAAAAATCGAAAAAATTGATAATTGATAAAAACGAAAAATTGAATTGAAAAACTGAAAAATCCAGAAATTAAAACGTTGAAAAGTCCAAAAATTGGGAAATCGAAAAATTGAAAAATCAAAGTCGAAAAGTCAAAAAATTCAGAAATCGAAAAGTGAAAAAATCAGGAAATCGAAAATTTGATGAATCGAATAATTGAGGAATCGAAAAATTGGAAAATCTCAACACTGATTGAAAATCGAGAAATTGAAAAATTAGAGAATAAAAAACTGAAAAATTTTCTTGATATCTAGGATAAAATTGAACACGAAGAAATTAGAAAATGAGAAAATTGAAAAATCAATATGAAATGTCAAAAATTTGAGTAATCGAAAACTTAGAAACGTCAAAAATAGAAAAATTGAAAAAACAACGAGAATTGAGAAATCGAAGACGGAAAAATTCGCGAAATCGAAAATTTGATGAATCGAATAAAAAAATCGTTAACTTGAAAAATTGAAAAAAAGATATATCGAGGAACTCAAAAATCAATAAATCGAAAAATCAAAAAATATAAAATTTAAAAATTAAAATATAGAAAAATTAAAGAATCGAAAAATTGAGAAATCGAAACATCGAAAAATTTAAAAATCGAAAAAATTGAAAAACAGAAATATCGAAGAACTGATAAATCTGTAAATAGGAACTTCGAAAAATTGAAATATATAAAAAGAAAAAATCGGTGAAATCGAAAAGTCGAGAAATTGAAGAATGGAAATATTGAAAAATCCCTAAACTGAAATATCGAAAATTTGAAAAATCGAAAGATTGAAAAGTCAAAAATTTGAAAAATCGAAATTGAAAAAAACGAAATATTGAATTGAAAAACTGAAAAATTGAGTAAATAAAACATTGAAAAGTCGAGAATTTGGGAAATGGGAAAATGGAAAAATCAAAGTCGAAACGTTAAAAAACTGAAAAATCGAAATGTCGGAAAATCAAAAAATCGAGTAATCCAGAAATTGAGAAATCGAAAATTGAGAAATCTAAAAGTGAAAAAATCGGGGAATCGAAAATTTGAGGAATAGAAAAATTAGAAAATCTCAACACTGATTAAAAATCGAGAAATTGAAAAATTGAAAAATGAAGAATAAAAAAACTGGAAAATTGAAAAATCGAAGATTTAGAAACTTCAAAAATAGAAAAATTGAAAAATCATCAAACTGACCAAAAATTCAGAAATCTAAAAGTGAAAAAATCGGTAAATCGAATAATTGAGAAATCGAAAAATCGGAAAATCTCAACACTGATTGAAAATCGAGAAATTGAAAAATTGAAAAATCGTGAAATTGAGAAATCGAAAAATGAAGAATAAAAAAAGTGAAAAATTTTATTTATTTTTTTCTTTCGAAAGGTCTTGATATCTAGGATGAAATTTACCACGGAGAAATTGGGAAATGGGAAAATTGAGAAATCAAAGTCGAACCGTAAAAAATTTGAGAAGTCGCTAAGACAAAAAATCGATTAATCGAGAAATTGAGAAATCGAGAAATTGACAAAATCAATTGAAGAATACAAAAACTGAAAAATTTTGTTTTTCTTTTTTTTTCGAAAGGATAAAATTCAACACGGAGAAATTAGAAGCGTGAAAATTGAAAAATCAAAGTCGAAACGTCAAAAAATTGAAAAATCGAAAATTCGATAAATCAAAAAAGCGATTAATCGGGAAATTGAAAAATCCAAAAATTTAGAAACGTCAAACATAGAAAAATTGAAAAATCGGAAAATTGAAACATCGTCAAACTGAACGAAAATTAGGAAATCGAAAAGTGAAAAAATCGAATAATTGATGAATCGAAAAATCGAGAAATTGAAAATCGAAAAATGAAGAAAAAAACTGAAAAACTTTGTTCTTCGTTTATTTTTCGAAAGGTTTTGATATCTAGGATAAAATTCAACACGGAGAAATTGGAAATGGAAAAATTGAAAAATCAAAATCGAAACGTCAAAAAATTGAGAAATCGAAAAGTTGGAAAATCAAAAAATCATTAATCGAGAAATTGAAAAATCCAAAAATTTAGAAACGTCAAACAGAAAAATTGAAAAATCAGAAAATTGAAACATCGTCAAACTGAACGAAAATTAAGAAATCGAAAAGTGAAAAAATCGAAAATTTGATGAATCAAATAATTGAGGAATCGAAAAATCGAAAAATGAAGAAAAAACTGAAAAATTTTGTTCTTAGTTTATTTTTCGAAAGGTCTTGATATCTAGGATAAAATTCAACACGGAGAAATTGGAAATGGAAAAATTGAAAAATCAAAATCGAAACGTCAAAAAATTGAGAAATCGAAAAGTTGGAAAATCAAAAAATCATTAATCGAGAAATTGAAAAATCCAAAAATTTAGAAACGTCAAACAGAAAAATTGAAAAATCAGAAAATTGAAACATCGTCAAACTGAACGAAAATTAAGAAATCGAAAAGTGAAAAAATCGAAAATTTGATGAATCAAATAATTGAGGAATCGAAAAATCTAAA